CAGAATATCTTTAGGCTCATTTTATTTCAGCTCTCCAAGCAAATCAATTTGGCTGATGAGTTTTAGATCTACACTGATATCAGAGATGTTAAGCATGTAAAAGGAGTTCTTACAGCAGGGAAGCCACCATAGTCCCCGGGCGCTCTGATGTCCTTAGTGACACAGCTATTAGCAGCTAATCGAACCTGCAATCACCAACTTAGATATTTTCTAATGAAATATACCCTTCATGGAAGCATCCAAAACATAACTCCCTATGTTAATTTAATGGGAGATAATCAAATCAATGACAAAAGAAAAATATACAGGAAGCAAGACGCATTTCAACAAGTTTAGAGACTAAAGATTAAAAATGGATCATTTTTCTTTTCCAAATCACGTGCTATGTTGATGTGAATTTCTAATCATGCAAATCAAGTGTCACATTGATCACTTAATTCTGTCTCTTTCTATATATAAAACTCAACAACTTGATGCAATAATTTGTTTCCTCTCAAAATCAAGTAAATACCTTTGAGGCAATAGAAACATGATCACGAACGGCTACTCTTCCCCCTAGGACTACATAGTCTCCTATCCTGTGGCAGGAGAGAAAAACCAAAGATGATAACAACTCCCAGGAACTTTAAAACCTTCATCAAGTTCAGATACATTAATACATGGAAACTTGAGGAACAATTGGAAGGAAGAAAAAAAAAACAGTAATAACATACGTCACTGAACCTGCTATGCCGACCTGTCCACAAAGCATGCAACTTTTCCCAATAACTACATTATGTCCAATCTGCAAAAGCCAGCATTTTGGTAAGATTATACCACAGAACATACATATCGAGAAGACCAGATAGCAAAAATCACCTGAACTAAGTTGTCTATCTTTGAATGATCTCCTATGACTGTATCTCTCCAACTGCAAAACCAAATAGGTGATACTTTCATTAAAGACTGGAGTGCTGAGGAATATGCAAGATAGTTTGCAGTGAAAATATTCAGAGCCAACAGATAACTCACCTGCCTCGGTCAATGCATGTATTAGCTCCAATTTCCACATGGTTCCCTATCCTTGCATTTAGCATCTGGGGAAAAACAAAGGAGAAAGAAAAAAATATACTTAATAAAACAACTCACTTGCTCAAATCAACTCTGAATAAATTATCTTAAATACGCTTTCTATGCTCTAATAGATTCTAAAAAGAATCAATTCAATGATAAAAGAAATGCCAATTATAAAACTTTTCCTAATTTTGGCCTTGCACTGCTCAAAAAACAAGCAAGTCTAATGAAGTTGGTGACTTGCTGTGGTAACATAAGAGAAAAATAAAGCTATTCTAACAGTTAACAGATTGTACTTGCGTTGCAAGTTTACAACAGCACTTTAGTAAATGTGCTTAGTCCATTGTCAGTATTCAGGGCATTAAATAAAATATGATCTTGTTATTGATATATTTATCTAGTTTGACAGTGTTGGATAGCTTAAAGTCCAATAAAGAACACCAACTTGAGGTTTCTTGACCATGTTGCCATCCTCATCCACAAAGAATCCAAATCCTGCAAATGAACAAATTGAAACAAACAATTCAACTCTTGTATAAGTTACTCTTTAATAGACCTACAACACAGATAGGGAGGTTAAGGAAATATAAGTAAATAATTTTTGACACTGGACCACTATCATATGTTGAATGAATTGGATGCCTCCTTTAACTTCCATTAGCTGATATAAAAGCCAAGCTCAAATACCCAGCCTTACCATCTTGACCAATGCAAACTCCATTATGAATTACACATGAATCCCCTACGGTGCAGTTACTGAGCGCAGTATTATACCTGGAGAAATATAATATATCCATCAGAAATCAAAAGAGGTCATAAATGCAAAATTGCAATGCGAAACTAAATTAAACAACGTCGATGTCTGCATGTGCATTTGCAGATAAAAATTGACTGATTTACCCGATCTTCGTAAATTGACCGATTGTAACACTAGGTCCAACAACAGTCCCTGACCCAACATGAGCATTTGCACCCAACACAGATTTTGAATGAACTATGGCGCCGATCTCAATAAGCACGGTTGGATCAATGCAAGCTGACTCATGAAAATACCCACCTCCATTTTGCCATCTTAAAAACTCCCGGGGATCAAACTCAGCTCCGGTTTCTATCTTGACAAAAGGAGAATGAAAAAAAGAGCAAACTTAACTGGTAAGAGTTCAAGTAACATGTTCGTTGAGACGTTTCAGCAAACAACTGAGCTGCCATGGGAACTTACCGGAGCAGAGCGTGGTTTGGTTAGTTGGTGACACGGAGAAGTTACAGAAAGTGCTGAAACGCGAAGGAGTCGAAAGAGGAAATTTTTGAGCAGGGAAATTCCTGAAAACGAAAGGGCAAATGGAGGATAATCTTTTCAGAGTAACCGCCATAACGACCAGGGGATAATCAGTTGGTGTGACGGTTAACGGAAGAACTGGCAAGAAATGAAACGGTTCTTTGGAAAAAAAAAAAAGGCGGGAGCGGGATGGGCGCAGCTCCAACAAGTGGGCCTTCGATCAGCTTAGGGCCCCAAGGCAAGTGACCCTTCAGTCTAGGCCAAATCTTCCTATAAAGGATAGTCCAATTCCAATCTTTTGTTTTATTTTTTAAAAATTCTTGTAGTGATGTTCTAATTAAGCGTAACAATGGATACCTTGTAATTATACATCTTGCATTATCTAATTCGATAAGAATAGGATACTTTATAATTGAATTTAGATGGTAAAGTTATTAACCATCATGTGTTCGGGTAATGATCTTTAAGATAGTCATTACTCCAATCTAATTATAAATAATGATGTTTACTATTAAATTTTAATTTTTTATATATATGTTTTTTATTTATAAATTTTCTATATTTAATGTAGTTGTTACTATTCATTAATTCTTTTAAATATGATTTTAAATTTATTTCAATTAAATATTTAATGAGTAATTTGAATATTTAACCATTAATGTTTAAGATATTCAAATACAAGTTCAAAAATAATTTTAAAATTTAATCGAGTATTTAAAATATAGGTATTCTTTATCAAATTAAAAGACTGGGATAGAATATATTAAATAACGGGTTCCTTACCTGTTAACATCTATAGTTCTAATCCATTAGTTTTAAAGGTGGAGATATGAAGTTTCAAATAGAAAAATGAATTAAAGAAATGAAGTCAAAGTTAGATTAATTTACTTTAAAGTACAACAT